GCTTCCATTCCTCTGGGGCATTCTTCTTCCCCTTCTTCTCTTCTATAATTTGTATGTTTGAACACTTCATAAAGTCCCATAATTCTCTTAGTGAATGTTCTGCTTTCTCTCTCTCTTTTTCTGTCTCTTTAACTCTCTATGTTAGCTCAAGAGCTTTATCCTCTACTTCTGAGATTCTTTCTTCTCCATGTCTAATCTGTTATTGATACTTTCTTTTTTTTATTTTTATTTTTATTTTATTTTTTATTTTTTTTTTTTATTGAATGGTATCTGTGTACATTGATGCTATTGATACTTTCTATTGCATTTTTAAGTTCCCTGATTGACTGCTTCACTTTATTAAGGTCTGCTATGGACTTTTTATATTCTTTATATTGTCCATATCTTATTTGATTCATTTTTGGATTTCCTTTTGGTTATTTTTCACTTTCTAGGCAATTTCCTTCATTGTTTTTATTGTCCATATTTTAAATTACCTTTCTGTCATTTCTAACATTTCTTTATAGGTAGAATCCTCTGCAGTAGCTACTTCATGATCCCTTGGGGGAGCAGGGGTTCTCTGTTCTGGTTTTTCATGTTGCTAAGATTTTTCTGCTATTTTTTTCTCATGAATGTTTTCTTTTTGTCTGTTTCCTTGCTCTTATTTTTCCTTTCACTTTCTTTTCTTCTTTAAGTTATTATGCCTCTGACCTAAGATATTGAAGTATCCTTTTGGTATAGGACCAAAAGGAAGAGAAGATTAAACAGCAAGAAGGCATAAAAGATTAAAAAAAGAGAGAGAGAAAAGAGAAAGAGAAAGGAAAGGGGGGAGTAAAAGGGATGATTCAGAAAAAGAAGAGAGGAACAGAAAGAGAGAGACTAGAGTAATCCTGGTGTACAGTAGGCTACTTTGACCCACACCCACAAATCCCAACCTCTAAGGACCTGGTTGTGGTGGGTCCCTCAAGGTCAGGAGCTCTTTGTCAGCCTGAGCAGACTCAAGACCCCAACTCCACTAAATAAAGAAAAAAAACAAAAATGCTATAAATCAAAACAAAATAAACAAAAAGCTTTAAGACCTGTGGGTCACAACCAACAGGAACTGTGTTAAAGGGTTGCAGCATTAGGAAGGTTGAGAACTCTTGCTTTAAGGGATAACATTGAGGGAAAGAAGAATAACAAGGGCATGAAAACTAGCAAAAATGAAGCCCTTATTATTGAAGAAGGAAACAATGAAAAGTTATAATTACAAGAGAAAAAAGGAGAAAAAAATGAAAAAGAAAAGTCTAGGGGGGAAAGTTGAAAAAAATTTTAAAGGAAAAAATATATATCTTGCTGTATATTGGCTGGGTAACAGGTGATATTCTTAGGTAAAAGATGCTAATCACAATGCTGATACAGCTGTAAATGATGGAGACTGGATGCCTCTGTCTTGCTGAGGAGACCTGGTCCCATCTTCCTGACTTCTTTGCCCTCAATTCCCACAAGGTTGGGAACCTGAAGTTCTTCTCAGCCCACTTAATGGATATGCCTTGACCTTTCCAAACCATAACCCTTTGCCACTCAGTGGTTTTCCCAGGAAAGTGTGTGTCACTCAAATCTCCCCAGGAGTGGCTGTCCCACTTATCAGAAGGGCCAGGACTGGCCTTGCACTAGGACTCCGAAGGCCAAGGCTGCAAGGCAGCTTTCCGACAATGGCTGTGCCTGGCTTGCAGGTGAACAATGATGGCTCCACTCTGCCCAGTGGCTCAGTCCCATCCCCTACACAGTGTTCAAAATCACTTGCTTGCTCTCCCAAGCTCTCCCAAGGTAACTCAGTCAAGTGCCTAGGTTCAGGAAAAACAAAAAACAAAAAACAAAAAACTTGGCAGGGCAGGTCTTCTCTGTCTGTAAACTCTTGCCACTGCTGCCCCTGCACTGGCTGGTCTCTGCCAGCCCACAAGTGCTTGCCTTTGTGCTGCTTCTCCACTGCTTCTGTCTTCCTCTTGGGGTCCTGACATCTCCTGCTGCCTCTCTGTGCCCCAGAGGGTTGTGGACAGAGCCCACAAGCCAGAGATATCTGGAGTCTTTTCTTCCCAGTCTCACCATTCATGGCTGCAAAGAAACTATCTCTATTCTGCCATCTTGCTCCACCTTTCCCCTAGACCATTTTTTAGGGTTTTTTTTGTTTGCAGTTTTTGACCATGGCCAGGTTTGAACCCACCACCTCTGGTATATGGGGCCAGCGCTCTACTCCTTTGAGCCACAGGCACCACCCAGGGGGTTAATTGTTTTGTTGTTGTTGAATTGTTTGAGTTCATTGTAAATTCTGGATATTAGTTCCCTGTTAGATGTATAGTTTGAAAATATTTTCTCCCATTCTGTAGGTTGTCTATGCATTCTGATTATTTATTTTGCTATGCAGAAGATTTATAATAAAGCCCCATTTGTTTATTTTTGTTTCTATTGCCTATACTTTTCAGTTCTTAGTCATAAATTCTTTGTCTAGACCAATGTCCACAAGAGTTTTCCCTAGGTTTTCTGTTAGTAATTTTATAGTTTCAGGGCCTACCTTCATGTCATTAATACATTCTGAGTAGATTTTTATATACAGTGAGAGATGTGGGTCTAGTTTTATTCTTTTGCATGTGGCAATGTAGTTTTCCTAGTACCATTTATTGAAAAGAGTATCCTTTCCTCAATGTATGTTTTTGTCAACTTTTTCAAAGATTACATGGCTGTAGATATATGGCTTGGTTTCTAGATTCTCTCTATATATTCACTTTAATTTTTTTTTTTTTT